GTAGAGGTACCTGTTATGTTAGTTTTAGACTCAGGTAGGTACCTGTGAGGTTAGTTTTAGGGTCAGGTAGGTACCTGTGAGGTTAGTTTTAGGGTCAGGTAGGTACCTGTGAGGTTAGTTTTAGGGTCAGGTAGGTACCTGTGAGGTTAGTTTTAGGGTCAGGTAGGTACCTGTGAGGTTAGCCTTAGGGTTTGTGGTCAGGGTTAGGCTGTAGAAATGTAATGGAAGTCAATGCCAGGTCCCCGTGAAGATAGCTGTACCAGACTGTGGGTGTTGTGTGTGTTTTCTCTGATTTTAGCAGAACTCCAGAACAAACACGCTGATTCTTTGTGCAGAAAAAAAAAGGATTCCCAGCTGTGTTTGTGTGTTTCCATGGTGACTGAGATGCTCTCTGTCAAAAACCACAAAAAGAGGAGAAATTGAAGCGTCTGCATCGGTTCTGTTGGTCGAACTGTTGGTCAGAAATCAAAGGAATGAATATTTAGGACTTTAAGCTGTTTGTGTAACTTTTAACCACTGGTCTTCCTCTGTGTGACACTGASACTTTAGGACACAACTGGGAAATCCAGTTTTGTCGTCCGTATTAAACAAATTGATTGACAATCTGTTCATTTTGCAGAGAATGTGATTGGATAGAAAAGTTGTTTTTAATATTTTAGATCTTATTTAATGGGTTTGTTCTGTCTTGGGATGAAGAAGAGTGAAATGCAGACGTGTCTCGATGTTGTCTCTGGTCTTATTTCCTGTTTTGTCTCCGTCTGGCAGCAGAGGACTGAGCCACAATGTGAAAACTGATGAGATCAGTGAGTAAACTGTCAAACTGCCGCCTGCGAGCCGCGCTCTCTAATAGATGGTTTCACTACGTGGTGCCTCTTAACTCTGAGGACCTCTGACTCTTCAGCAAACGACATGATTCAAGTTAGCGTGTTGTCGCTGACGCTTTAGCTCTCCACACTTTGTTGTTTTATTTTTTAACACACATGCTGTGTGATCTGTCTGCAGCTGGCCACGTGGGACTCTGTTCACGGACTGAACGGCAGCCTGAAGGAGAGCCGGATAGAGAACGGCATGCAGGGAGTGACAGTGAAAGTGGTCACCTTACTGGTAGGTGGCACAGTTAACTTCATCCTACAGTCGATTTTAGTTTCATTAAGTCTCATTTTACAGAAGAGGATAAAGAAATCTGACATTTTTTATAATTCTGATAAAAATCTGAGAAAAAAAGTAAAAATTATAAAATAAAAGAATTCTGAGATTAAAGACAGAATTCTGAATTCTGATAAAAAATGTCAGAACTCTAAAGGCAGAATTCTGCAAAAAAAGGTCAAAATTATAAAATAAAAGAATTCTGAGATTAAAGTCAAAATTCTGAGTTTTTCTTGCTGCAGATTCTGGTAAAACAGAAGAGGCTAAATCTACAATCTGCAGCAGGAGTTCGAAGAAGAAAAGAAACAATCTGATTTTTGTTTTATTAAAGGGATCCATGATTAGTTGTAACATTAGACTTTATTTTATAAACATTATTTTAACTGTGTAATAAAGACTGTAAAAATACTGTAGGCTGTTTAATTTTGTAAATTTTTAAAAATATATTTTAACACGGACGGAGCCATTTTATTTCCACACAAAGCATTCTGGGTAAATGATGACGTGGATAGGTGCTCGGTGCGAGGCTGCTAGCGAGCTATATCCACCCTGAAGGTTAATCTTGGACAATATCTGATGATCGACTCCGCTGACAGTTAGGTTTCACTTTCACTTTCACCCGAGAGCCTGCAGGAGTCATGGGCGGGGTG